CATTTTTCTAGTTATTCATTCATATCATTGCTCATACATAATTGCATCTGTCTGCATAAGTGATTTAACCTTAATGTGTCAACAGGAACAATAGCGTCATGATTTTATAAAAATGGAAATCCTAGTATAGTATAGGGTCTCTCCCACTTTCAGCCCTAGTCCCTATGGCCATAACAGATTGGTGTTTTCTGCTCTCATACCTTCCAATATTGAGACTATGTAGTCCAGAGATCCGCCCCATTATTAGGGAAGGCTGTCCCAATTGTTTCTCTTCGACAGATTTCATTTGAAGTCATGTATGTGTGTGTGTGTGTGTGTGTGTGTGTGTGTGTATGGAGAGCAAGAGAGAACATATGTGTGGATTTCTATAATTAACGCAAGCAACTTTTGTGCAAAATGTATAAGATGCACACCAGGCAGTTAGTAGTAACTACTAACTTGTACTACCACCATTACATGTAACTGCACATTTCATACACTTGTTAACATTTCTCCTGCCAAAAGACTTAAGTCATGGGTAGGTTATTCTTCCATGGCTAAGGGCATTTTCTTCTCTCTCAGGACCACGTTCTGGAGTAGCGGAGCAGCTACAACAAGACGATTGGAGCCATGTGGATTTTCTGCTTTTCTGGCTGTTCTTTTACCATATTTTATAAAGCCATCTCAACATTTTCTTTTAATTTGGAAAGTCAATGCCATAACAGAGTATAAATTTTCATAAAAATAAACTATTTTAATAGATATATACAATATATTCACATAGCTTTTGCTTTTTCCCAAGAAAATAAAGTAATTGGTTACACAGTCTAGTCATTACCTTGAGAACAAGGGAGACAAGCACATAGTGAAGAGATGCACCTGAGTAAGTTTTTTTCACAGGTATTTCTGATTTACAGCTACATGAAACAGCATTCTCTTAGGAATAGCAATGGAGTATAAAACTAACCACCCATAAAGTACAAGCCAAAATATTTGGACTTGTGACACACAATTAATTATGTCATGCTCCTCTCCCCTCCCTTTTCTTATTTTTGCAAACTATACAACCTTCATTCAGGCTTATCTTGGTAAGCTCCTTTAACATCAGAACATACTTGAGAATTAGCTCCATAACGGGTTAGAGACTGATGGGATGGAGCTTAGCTCTCAAGAGGCATTCTGGTTCTGCAGTAGGCTGATGGCAGCAATTAGAAAAGCAAACCTACCTTTAACATTTGGGAGTCTTGTTTATTTCTTTTTGTTTGTTTGGCTACTTTGCAAATCCTTTAAGGTAGTATACAAAGAATATCAAAAACTTTACAATTTTTTAAAAACTTTCTTCAGGATAAAGACTGTATGGACAATGGGATAATGCTGGTCCAGGGATAGAAGCTATAGAGAAGGTACATATCCAAGGTTCATTAGGATGATGATGTCTTGATGGGAGCTGGAGCATGCTGACCCTGCCAATTCTTGTAGGACAGGTGGAAACAATTGGAGAAAGGTTATCCTGTAATATACAGAGCCTAAGCCAGGGGTAGGCAACCTCGGCTCTTTTATGACTTGTGGACTTCAACTCCCAGAAAGACTCAGGAATTCTGGGAGTTGAAGTCCACGAGTCATAAAAGAGCCGAGGTTGCCTACCCCTGGCCTAAGCTATCAAGGGCTTTTTTAGATAACAATCAGCACTTTGAATGGCAAGTGAAATCTAAATGGCAAGGCTTGCTGTAACTGCTCATACTTCTGCATCCTGAACCAGGAAGGGCAACCTCATATAGACTGTGTTGAAATAGGATCTTCTGATACAGGAAAAGAGTGCAATTAGTACACAAGATAAATCTATGGAAGAGTTTTTCCAGCCGCAGCTGCCATTTGCTCACAGTAGAAGTCTAGGTAGGACATCAAAATTGCATGCCAGTAAGCTGGACAGACCCTAAAAATGAAGAATCCCTAAATCCAGAGTCATCTAGTTATGTTAGAGTTACATCTAAATAATTTCCTCCAATTCTAGACCCCAATCGCACCCAATCACTGATCCAGAATAGGATTTGCAGAATTAGACATATACAGGTTTGTATCACTTAGCATATTGTTACCTGATCTCATGCTGGTCAATGATCATGTACAGCAGCTATTTGTAGATGTTAACAAACAGCAGGGTAAGTGACAACTGTGAAATATCCCACAAAGCAAAGACTTCAGGTTTACTATTTCCTTCCCAGCAGCAAATAGAACTGAACCTGGGAAAGGACAACCACTGAAACATAGTCTCTCATTCCCAACTCTCCAAATCAATTCTAAGATATTGAAAACCTGCAAGACATAAAAAAGTACCAAGAAAGCTTGGATCTGGATTGCATATTGGTTCATGAGAGTTTAACTTTTAGCCACTGCCCTTAGATACAAGCAATTCCCTTATATGTTAGTAAGATATATTTGTGGCTAAATTCTGCCAAATGAATTCACATGATGACTATAAAACTAGTATAAAGATCTCCCAGCTGCAGGCTTTCTTGGCTAATGTTGAATCTATGAGATTTATTGAAACTGCTGGGAAACAGCCTCTTCAAATCAGCCAAGAATGATTTTAAAGGGTGTAGGAGAGTTAATGAAAATTTTGGCTTTGTAAGATCTTCAAACACCCTTGCAGTTTTTCAAAGCTAAAAAGAGAAGCTGAATGGTGTGATGAACTGATTATTTTAATTGCCTTGCTACCCTTGTCTGTTTCCCTCTTCTGATAAAATTCATTAGGAAGGTTTGTTTAAAGGGAGACTCAGATTTATTCTGCTCCTTTTATCAGTTTTACTATGACCTTTTTGATCCTCCATGTTTCCCTAAATTTACATTATACTCCTTTTATTAGATTATACCATTTATCCAGACAAATCTATTTGGTAGTATAATCCAACCCAACTTTATCCAGTTTGTATGCTCTTTTTCTCTTTTCCCCTCAGATTAAAATGTTTATTGATTTATAGTCAAAAGTCAACATAAAATCTTTTCTCTGCTATTGCCTGTATTTCCTATATCTTGTCCTAGCTCAGTCTAAAATGACTGAGTTCACTGCTTGTACTCTAGGATGCATATATATATATCCAAACTATTTTTATGTCATTGTAAATGTTACATTGTAGTGCATTATATATGCAATTTATGATATATTTCTGTTTTTAAAACAATGTTGGACTAGTAATGTTGCCTCAAATATTTATTTTTTTATTAAATATAGGCCAGTTTGATCTAATGGTTAAGGTACCAGGCTAGAAAGCCAGGAGACTGTGAGTTCTAGTTTTGCCTTAGGCATGAAAGCTAGCTGGGTGGCTTTCTCTCAGTCCAATTCACTTCATTGAGTTGTTGGTGTGTGGAAAATAGGAGGAGGAAGGACTATTAGGCATGTCTGCCACCTTGAGTTATTTATAAAAATAATAAAAGTAGGATTTTTTTAAAAAAAATCTAAAATAAATACAGTTTAACTATTTTAAATATTCACAACTGTAGAAAGAAAAATGATCAATAAATCAATAATAAATATATAAATAGTTATCTATATGTTCTTTGATAAACAATGGAGGGAGTATGGTGCTATCATTTTACTTTGGGACTTAAAAGAGATATATCTAAATATCACAAGGATTAATTTGGGTGAAACCTTGAATCCACAGATTTTCATTTGGTTTTATAGGTGAACAAAATGCTGGCATTTTGATGCTTGCCCCTTAAGAGTTTATGACTGAATAGAGACATAGATTAATGGACAATGTCTATCAAATCAGTGTTGACTCTTAGCAACCACTTAGATCAGGGGTCTTCAAACTTGGCCCTTTTATGATTTGTGGACTTCAACTCCCAGATTCCTCAGCCAGCGTGGCTGAGGAATTCTGGGAATTGAAGTCCACAAGTCATAAAAGGGCCAAGTTTGAAGACTCCTGACTTAGATTTTCTCCATGACAAAAGACACATCTGCATGAAGGTAAATGATAATATGTTGTGATAATGCAATGCAAATCACATGACGTACATGTAGGGATACCAACTATGAAAAGCTGGAGTTACATTGTAACAACACAATGTAAGTTTTTTATTCTTTATGTTGTGGTTATTACTAGATGCCTGTGTGGTTATTGAATTAAATGTCTAACAGATTCAAGTAGAATCTTGTATTTAAATCTTGAATCATACATTTCAGTGAAAACATGGTCAGATTTCTCTAATAGTTATCTCAGACATCATGTGTATTCAGTTTCCATAGAGGATATTCCTTAGCAGTACTTGGTGTATTACATGACTGCCATTCTTTGCCAAGTTATTTGTGGATAATGTAGTAATTTGAGTGTACTCATGCACCCATCATCTAATCCAGGATTTCAGTTTATATCTTTTTGTAATTATAACCATTTATAAGAAGTTTTGTACATATTTTATTTTTATTGAAAGGAATTATAGCCTGGCACATTCTAGAAAAGAAAAAAATTCTTTCCCAGTTGAAAGCCAGGCAAAATCTAAAGCAGCCTTTTTACAACTTAAATTACTTTGGTAGCAATGTCAGAATCTGCTTCATCCCATCAAAATTAGGAGATAAACCCAAACTCTTTTTAACCTTTTATCTTTTTCATTTTAGTCTATTTTCTTTAATCCAATGGAGATTTTACACATCTAATTAAATGTGCAGATGGGTCCGAGTTCAACAACCTATAGTCAAGTGTCCTAGAAATTGGGGTTGATTTAGTCATGAGTGCAAAACATCTCACTTGTCCTTAAGACTTTATAATTCTCTGCATAGGTGTTGATGTTAACCACATCTTACAAATGGATTATTCTGTTCCAATTAAAGCCTAAACAAAAACTGCAGGAATGCAAAAATGACATTTTGGTGTTGATATTTCAATTACAAACATTGGAGAACATTTCACTTCCATGTCAGCAATGACATCCTGAGGCTACACACCTTTACCTGGAAGTCAGCTTATAATGCTTTTGATGAAGGTAAGTATAAGAATTGCAGCATAAAACTCCAGCTAAAATCATTGATTTATAAGGCAATTCAAGGAATGTCCTTGCTGCCTATTAGATTTCTTCTTGGTTTTTTGTTTTTTACCCAGTTTGTTTTTATTTAATATCTTATTGTTTTTATCCTCCTTAAACCATGGGCCCCACACTCCTCCATTAAAATTTGGGTTGCTCCTGGGGTCTTTAGGTGGGTAGCGAACAGGAACGGCTGTCTTATTGAACTGGGAAAGCCTTCGCAGCAGCTGCTTGACTATACTTGGATATTTCCTAGAAAGATCCTCTCGTTCATAAGGATCAGCCGTGATATTGAACAACCACACAGTTTTACCAGCTGTCCATGAAACCCGTTCATTGTGCCAGCGATTGGGGCCAACATTACTAAAAGATTGAGGAGGGACCCAGTCACCATATCCTGGATTTCCTGTTAGTAGTTTCCAGTGGTTTACACGGATGGCTGACTGAATGGCAGTGTTCCATATTCCAAAGCCAGCTGCCCAAGAACCATTTTTGGCTTTTGTGTATATGGGATCAATATTGTGTAAAATATCTATTCTTGGAGACCGCCTGCCTTCACTGATGGTCTCCCACACATCATAGCCATCCAGTTGTATATCTTCATCAATCTGCCCTTCTGCTAAGGTAATAAGTGTTGGAAACCAGTCAGTTATATGTATAAGCTCCTTGCATATACTTCCCTTTATTTTAAGTAAAGGGCTATGAACAAAGCCAATGGCTCGAATCCCTCCCTCCCAGTAAGTACCCTTGCTTCCTCTGAGAGGCCAGTTATTTCCACCAGCTGTTGGCTGGCCTCCATTGTCTGAAGAGTAAATTATAACACTGTTGCTATAATAACCATATCGCTTTAATGCATGGGTCACATTGTTGATAGCTTCATCCAAGCATGCCAGCATAGCAGCGTATCTGCGCCGATTGATATTATTAATTGATCTATAACGTTCATAATACTTGCCCGGGGCCTGAAGTGGTGAGTGAACAGCTTGGTATGCAAGGTATAAGAATATAGGTTCTCTGGGGTTATGGGAGGCTAAGATTTGTTCCACTCTTTGAGTGTACATCTGTGTAGAATACATTCCATTGTCGTGATCCCAAGCAGCATTGTCGTTTTCATATAAGTCATAGCCACACATTCGAGGGCTGTCACATTTGTAATGAGTGTAATAGTCACCACTACCCAAAAGAGAGCCAAAAAAGGTATCAAACCCCCGTTGAGTTGGCATACATTCTTTGCGATAAAAGCCCAAGTGCCATTTGCCAATCATGTGGGTTGAATAACCTGCTTCTTTCAGTTTTTGAGGCAGTGTCACATTGTCCAAAGGCAGGCAGTTTGGCTGGGTGGGCCGTATGACAGAATGCTGAAGACCTGTATGGATTTGATACCTGAAAGAAAGAAAGAAAATACACCTTAGATAAAGGAGATACAATGTAAACAGATATCATAAACAGGATGGAATGCACAATGGAGCTTGGAGCACAGCTCTATCCATCTTTACCTGGAAGCAAGCCCACATAGATTCCTTATGGTTCTCAAGCTAAATACTGGGTTCCAGATCTGAGATTTTGGATATGTTGTATGAAAAGTCATTCTTGCTGGAACACTTTAGTCAAGAAAGGTATTCCTTTTTTATCCTATGAGGACTCTTTGCCAAGTGACATATGGAGGGTGGATACAAGACCTTCTCAGTTATGGAACTTCACCAATATAGTGCTTTCTCCAAGGTGGTATGCTTGGCATAATGTCTTTCAGACACCAGGCAAAGCCAGTTCTCTTCTCTCAGGCATTTTTTACAGTTTTAAAATCAATATGGTTTTAAGATTTTAAGATCTAACTGGAATAGTGACCATTTTGTTTCCTATGCTAAAAGTTGTACCTGCATTTTATTGTTTTTATTTATTTATTACAGTTTTTACATTTTTGTAATACTTTAAATAATAGTAATCCATGCAGACCATTTTGTTTACTGGGTGGATTAAAAGAAATAATCTCTGTGACTTCATTTATTAGTCTAAATAATTATTGGATCTTCAAATACGCAAAAAACAGGCATCTACAGTATATGAACACTAGAAAGAAAAGCTGGATGGAATTTGATGCTGACTTGTCATGCTAAGACTCATTTCCTGTAGAATGAGAACTTTAAATAAAAGCAGATCTTCCTGTCCATCCAATCCCAGCAAAGCAATCTGAGAAAGAATATGCTTACTTATGAGCTACTTGTACAAATACCACAGCCAAAAAAACCTATAAAAAGAAGCCTGGAATGTTTAGATTGTTTTTAAAAAAACTTCCACAGTTTTTAATTATTCACATGCATAAATATACATTATATCTTTAATCAAAAACAGCCAGTTATCACTCCAACTAATATATGGAACATATGCAAGGAATCCTCATGTTTATTGTGTATGGAATAAGCACTATGTCACCCAGATGACATTGTAGCAATTACATTTTTGGTTACAAGTTACACAAAATGTAAAACAATGCTTTTGAATTGTGATGGTGGAGAAAATGTCTGAGATCAGGTTGGACTGCTAGAAAGACCAATTATTCAATACTAGAATGCTCGCTAGAAGCATTAATAATGAAGCTAAAGGTTAAATATTTTGAATGCATAATGTAAAGGGAAAAGTCAAAGGAGAATACATAGAAAAATGAAAGGCTTTCAAAAAAGAGACGACAATACGATGACACAAGGACAAACTTAAAAACAAGTGAAATTATTTTGAACAAGTCACAGAAGCAAATGAATGACTGAATAACATTTTGAAAATGGAAGGAATATACTAACACAATTATCTCATTCACTGAAAAGCATGAAGTCCCTGCTCTTAAAGATAAAAGTTGGGGGAGGCAGGGCCCACATTTTCTGAATGTATTTAATAGTCCACATTTTCAAAAAGTTGCAGAAGCAGTGATTTAAATCTACTGTCTTGCTTTGAAAAGTCATTTATGTTGTTATTATTTCTTTCCTCTAAGGCGTCCTGCAGTCCATTTGTGTAATCTTGTTATTTTCAATTGATACCTTTTATATAAGATGACATATTTGTCAAAAATAAATATTTGAAAAGGTTAAAGGAATTCTTGTAGCACTCTTAAGAGGACTGCTGTAATATATTCTTGATCTTTCCTGGAATTTCAGAGCTGTATTGTATTGAATCTCTGTATATATATATATAAAAAAACCAGTGCTCCTACCTATCAACACAAATCTAGCTAAAGTCTATTCTGAGTTCATATGCAGCAGCTTGAGTTCTTGAAGCACTGAAATATTTTAAAGAGTAATAACTCATGTGATATAATGAGCTAATGGAAGTAATTTAATGGCTGTACTGGTTTCATTTGCCTCCCAGTCATAAACAAAACTTTACAGGATATGTAGAATTTGGGTCTATTATTGTTTACTATTAAATAGAAGAATTAAATCCATTCAGGAATTTTACAAACATGGGCAGCATTGTGCCCTGGATGGCAACCTTCCATTGATGATTTCTATCAGCTGACGGTAAAGGTAGGTTGCTTGAGACTCAGGAGGCAAAAAAGAACCTTTATACTTAAAAATAGCATCCACTGATAATTATATCGCCCATGGATTTGGCTAGTTTAAATTGCTTGCCATCAAATCTGATGGCAGCAAATCCCGAAATTTAACTATGCCCCCAAATTTCCCCACACTTGTTTTCAATGTTTGACTCTCTATTCTAGCACTGAAAACGAGGGACAAAAACTATGTGTTCGTATTTTTCAATCCAGGCATGACCTGCATACAGGGAGTTCTTGATTTATAACCACAATTGGGCCTGAAATTTAGCTTGTAAGTTGTGGTCATTACTCGTCCTGACTTAATTTTGCAACCAAATCCGTCATATCCAATGGACTTTTTTGCCATTTTTTTTGTCGGAAAACAGCAATAAAACCATTGTTAATCACAGTTATGTGGCTGTCGGATGCTGCAACCACTTGTAAATGCGAGTTGGTTGTAAGTGCCCAAAGTGGGGATCATGACATTTTATGATGGGGGAAGGGCTTTATAGACTATAAAGCCCCCTTCCAGGGTTGTTGCATTTTCAAACGATTATTAAGTGACTTGTTCGTTAAGAGAGGACAACAGATAGTCCTCAATGTGCAACTATAATGGAGCCTGCCCATTATGGTCATACTGTATATCATGATAGTTGTAAAACAGGTCAGTCATGTGTGACCAACCCCTTTTTACAATGTTTTCTGTAGTGGTTGTTCAGCAAACATGGTAGTTATAAATGTCAATGCTGTGGTTTTTAAATGAAAATGACACCATAAGTGCGAACCCATTGTTTGCTATGGGTTTTTGGCAGTGCCGATCTTCAGCAAAACTGGCAGAAAATGCACTCACGTAATCATGGGACACTGCAAATGGCCATAAAGGGAGCTATGTTGCTGAGTGTCCGAAGTGCTATCAGAACTTTGGGTCCAGGTTGTAAGTGCCCTTTTTCAGGTAGATCGTAACTTCAAACAACTTGCTAAGCAAGTAGTCATACGTTGAGGACTACCTGTGCCTGTACACTTTTACTGTTCTCCCTTAATTAAAGACCACCCCAAATACTATAACATTTTTTCAGGGGATCTGTTCTGGTGCCCTAATCACTCCAGCTTGCTGTTTTTCTTTCCTGTTCTGTATCTCCTGGGCACAAATCTTCTGAAGGAATACTCTTCAGAGAGAGTGTCTAATTTGGGAATTTATTCTAATTTGCAAGGACTATTCCACCAGCTAGTTTAATATCTCATTAAGCATGTTTCCCATTGCTGAATTACATATTATATATCATTAGCTGTTATCTGTTATCAGCATATTTTTAAAAATCTTTTAGACATTTAAAATAATAACGGTCTTTGGAGATATTGCAAATGAAAAAAATGTTATTTGTGACAATTTCATAATATGGATAGAATAAAAGTAATTATCATATGCACATATGAATATTCTGTTGAAATCTCCCTTGGTAGCTTCATTAAAATGTTTAAACTGCTCAGTGCTCCTCCAGGAAAAACAACAGCATATTATCAAGATTAAAGTTTTAAAGACTGGAAGACTTTATTCTACAAATTGATTAAAAAATCTGTTTAAAAGTCTATCCATTGCACATAAAATTCCACAACATTATGTCCTCCAGCAAATGGCTAAGTTAAATTTCAATTATGGGAGCTGTAGGCAGTGCATCTGACCAGTAACAAATTGGGGAAAGTTGTTCAGTGAATGCCAATTATAGCAGAATTTTGGAAAGCCACTGTCAAAAAACAGCTGAACCTGGGCTAAATGGGTTGTGTGATTTAGCATGAAACAACCTTTCATATTGGTTAATCATTAGTTATTCAGCTAATTCTATATTAGCTCTGTATTCTATTATAGAACCACTAGCACTATAAGAAATATTTGCAATATATGTTCATTAGAAACTGTTCAGGCTAGATGGAAAAACTTGTTAATTTTTTATTTAAAAAATTATATATTCAGTTCTTAGCAGGACCGGTGGTTGAAAAGTAATTAGTATTTTTTTTTTTTCGTTTTTAAATTTGGGGTCACACTTTTACACTAAAAATTTTAAAAAGATTTTCAATTCACCAATGATTTTTTAAAATAAAGAAATTATTTACCTTTCGCACATAGTCAGTTACTATACACACCCCGTCAGTTGTGTAACGAAACATAATGGTCGCCACCCGCAGTAAGCACTCAGCACGATACCACACAACCAATCACAAGCTGAGCAGCACCATCACAACCAGCGCAGACGAAGTACGCATGCATCGGATTCGACACACAAGCAGCCCGCATGCACCGTTTTAATGATTTTGCCGCCGACCTGCTACACTCGACAGGGCGATTCAAGTCCACATGGACCAAACATCAAATTTTCAAAAGTTACTTTTAAAACTTGGAAAATCTGTTGAAAAAAGGTGCCAGAACTCCGTTCTGGTGCATTCTATGACAAAAAAAGCACTGCCACTTTCTGAACAGATATTGAAAGGTTTCTTATTCTGAAACTTACCTGGGCAACATGATCTTGTTCAGGGGTGTTTCTTACCTCCTATTTCCTAATTTGTTCCAGATCATTGTGCATTTTAAATTGTTCTAGCAGTACTGACTTTCTAGGCATGGCAGTTGTTTACATTTTATAAATGGCAGTTGTTTACATTTTATAAAAATACATTGCTGTTTTTCAAAACACAACAATATATAACAACCAATTAAATTCATAATAGTACAAAACATTTTTAAATAAAAAGAAACCAATATTTATTTTCTTAAATAAAATCATTGTTAACTGATACATTGAAAATAAAAAAATTGAAAAGCTATGAAAAAGACATTTGGGAGATCATTCCTTCTAAGTCAGATTTT